TCCTGGCCTCAAGTGATCCATCTGCCTCAGCCTCCCAAAGTGCTGGGATTACAGATGTGAGCCACCATGCTGGCCCTCAGTCACCTTTTAAAAGGCCCCACTTCTGAATTCTGCCAGATTGGGGATTAAATTTCAGCTTCAGTTTGGGAGGGGATAAGTATACAAATCATAGCATTTTGGCTTTATCAAAGATGTCCCTTTGTCATCAGCATCGAAACTCTACCTTTGAGTCATTTCCATTGGCATATAAATTTGTTGTAAATGTCTCTGGTCTCTTAAAAAAAATTGTTCTTTGGCCGGGCATGGTGGCTCAAGCCTGTGATCCCAGCACTTTGGGAGGCCGAGGCGGGTGGATCACAAGGTCAAGAGATCGAGACAATTCTGGTCAACATGGTGAAACCCCGACTCTACTAAAAATACAAAACATTAGCTGGGCATGGTGGCGCGTGCCTGTAATCCCAGCTACTCAGGAGGTTGAGGCAGGAGAATTGCCTGAACCCAGGAGGCGAGGTTGCAGTGAGCCGAGGTCGCGCCATTGCACTCCAGCCTGGGTAACAAGAGCGAAACTCCGTCTAAAAAAAAAAAAAAAAATTTTTCTTTGATCACATATCCTCCTCCTCCATACTATTTCTACTTCCTCTCCTTCCGCTCTCTCTTAAACCCATTCAAATCAGGCTCTCATCACGCCACTCTACTGAAATAGCGCTTGTCAATATCACCAACAAATGGGTTCCACATGGCCAAGCCCAGTGGTCAGTTCCCAGGCCTCATCTTGCTTGGCTTGTCAGCAGTATTTGACTCACCCGATCATTCCGTCCTTCAACCACTTGCTTCGCTTGGCTTTCGGGACACCACACTCAGCTTTTCAGCTCTGCTGTGTCCCTAAACGTTTTCTTTTTCTTTTTTTTTTTTTTTTTTTTCATGTCAGACGGGAAATGTACTGATGTCATAAAAGATTCAAGGGGGCATATCTCACACATGCATGTGAACACCCAATCATCACATTTAAGAACTACAAAAGGATCTGACCACTGCTTTTCACTCTCATCTTCACCTCCTAACATTGTTGAGCCCCAGAGGTCAATCATCAAATCTCTTCTCTCAAAACCCAATGAGTTTGATCCCAGCCAATCTCATTGCTTTAAATACCATCTTTTGAAGACCCAGATGTGCATCTCCAGCCATAACTTCTGCCTTAACTCTAGGTTCTTCCTTTTTTTTTTTTTTTTAAGACGG